ATTTCATGTCATTAGCACCTCTAGTAATATATTTACTGAGAAATATGGTGACATGTTCAATACTTATTTTACCCACTGTAAGAAGCCCACTGACAAATTCAAACCTATGTTTCTAAATGGCAGAGAAGGAAAAATAACGATTGTATGTTTAGTGGTTGAAAATCTATTGTACTTAGATTGTGATTTTTTTATACGAATTTAAAGAACTTGTTGCTAAACAATTTATTTAAAAATCGTAAATAACGTTGTGTTTTACTGAATCCTTCGTAATTTGTTGAACAAACATTTAATGTATGGGTTATTTGCTTCTGATTTAAACCTTTGACCTAATCTTGTGAAACTCCTGCAAGATGTTTCACCAGTTCTTCACAAAAGTTTGCACATCTTTAGGAAAATAATTTTTATCTTTTACAGACTAATGATGTTTTCTCTCTTTTTATTTTTTGAAAACCGTATTCATTAAGTTAATTTCTGCAATTTTTCTGCTTTGTCTCGACAGGTCACGCATTACAAGCAGTACCCACCCAACACAAGTAAAATGTACTCGTACTTCGAGTGCCGTGAGAAGAGGACAGATCCTACCAAAAGCAGAAAAGTTAAATACGACCAAACCGTCTTTTACGGCCTACAGTACATCCTCCACAAATACTTAAAAGGTAAGTTTGTAATGGTGGTGCTAACGGGGCTTGTATTTGGTTTGGCAGAGGAAATGAGACAAGATCGGCAGTGATCACTGCTCCCAACTTAAAAGTTTCATTTACCTGTATTTTGGTAACTGCCACGTCAGAAAAGAAGCAGAGCAAGATGCTATCTGAACAATAAAGGTGCGTGTACGCAGTAAAAGATAAAGGTACTAAGCTGAAAGGGTACATTTGTTTAACTAGAAGGGTCATGATTTAGACCTTAGGGTGCAAAAATGTACCTTTTTAAGGTGTAAATAAAAAAATAAAGTCTAGTTTAGTCTACTAGTATGCTCATACCCTCATGTACTGACAAGCTAATGTACCTATATGCTTATTTCTGGGCCTTGATTTTTTTATTTTTTTATTTTTTACAGTGTATGTCAAAACATTATCCCAAATATTCACTGCAAGCTTCATTTTACCAAACTTGGCGAAAAGCTTGAGTGTTTTATATTTTTAATTGTGTAAAATGCTGAGTCAGCATTTGCACAGTTTTCGTGTTTATAATTGAKCTTGTTCAGGATATTACAGCTACTATGACTTCTGTTTTTTGTAAATTTACTCTTGAAATATTAAATTTTATTTACTTTTTTCTCTCATTGAAATGCATTTAGATTTTTCAAATCTTTCTGAAACATTGTGCTCTTTCAAATAGACGTCAGCACTCTTGCTTTGTTTTTGTCTCGTTATTCGTCCTTTTCATTTTTTTTTCTTCAAGTGGTGGCGTTTAAGTATCTGGGTGTCTTGTTCATGAGTGATGGCAGGACGGAGCGGGAGGTGGATCAATGGGTCGGGGGTCTTGTCCTCAGTAATGAGTGCGTTGCTTCAGTCAGTCGCGGTGAAGAGGGAATTGAGTCGAAGGGCAAAGCTATTGGTCTGTCTATGTTTTAACCCTCACCTGTGCTCATGAGGTTTGAGTTATGACTGAAAGGACAAAATCCTGGACAGAATCAGCCAAAATGAGCTCCCTTTAGGGTGGCTGGGCCTTAGAGAAGGTAGGGTGGGGATCTCTTCTCAATACTTGTGCTCAGTATCAGTAGATTTTTAATTATAATAGATCTTTTTGATACTTATGATCCAAATCTATTCTAAACTCATTGTATTGTTTAGGAGTGCGTTGATGGGACAGGTGTTTTCTGTTGAGTCCTGCAGCAGCTGTTGTTTCATTCATTTATTAAACAAGGAGGTCCTAAGTGCTTTACACTWATTGCAAACCATAAAACAGAAAATCAAAAAGTCTCTTATCAACGGCAGTCGCAGTGTAAGGTATATAAAATTATCTCTGCTCCGACTGGAGTTTGATGTTTACAAGAGTTAGTGGGATCCCGAGAGATCAAGAGAGACTGGGGTGGAAACAAAGAGTCTCCCTCCTGTCTCTCCTAAGAGGATTTCATGGTGTGGTGGAGGTGCAGGGGAGAGTGTCAGAGACAACAGAGGGACAGGAGACAAAAGGACAGCTGCTGTTTCACTGTTCCGGGGAGAAAGACCAGTCGACCCTGGGCAGCGTCTGTTCTCACTCAAAGAGCACCGTGAACCCTCATACTTGAAGAGCCGAGCAAGTGGTTTGTAGTTTTCTATAAGGAATGAATCTTTTTTTTAAAGAGAAAACTCTGTTTTAGATTTTACAGAAACTGGTGAATACTTCGATCCTGATATTGCAAGCTGAACATTTTAATGTCTTACTGCACGTGAAAACTTTAAGAAGAGATTCTAAAAAAAATGGTAAAAAAAAAAAAAAATGTCACCAGAAGTTCTAAACTTTCCTTAGGTGTTCAAAATACCACCATGTCTTCATACTTGTGTATGTATATCTTCTTGTTGTGTTTGGCAAATTTCATTGTTTTAAAACAGATGAAATGACTCCAGGAGGTTGCTGGCCTGTGTGTGTGTGTGTGTCCTTGTTTTTACTATTTGGTGGGGACAATTTTTCAGGAAAATACAGCCTCGTGGGGACCGGGTGCTCATTGTGGGGCCCAAAGCCTGGGTGGGTAGGTTTAGGACCAAGGTGTGAATTGAGTTTAGGTTAGTTTTAGGGTAGGTAGGGTACCTGTGGGGTTAGTTTTAGGGTAAATGGTCAGGGTTAGGATATAAAATTTAAAAAAAAGGAATGGAAGTCAATGGAAAGTCCCCACAAGGAAATAGAGACATAGTGTGTGTGTGTGTGTGTGTGTGTGTGTGTGTGTGTGTGTGTGTGTGTGTGTGTGTG